CTTACAGCATTTTATTCCAGCGCATCTAATTGTAGACATTCTCATTATTCATGTAAACATCAACTCTTTTAATTATTATTTTAATTTCTGGTTGAATTAGCAAAAGTGATATAGTTCTGTTTTTTCTGTAAAAAAATCAATATATTTTCCACTAGTAGTACTGAACTGTAGTATTCATTTGTCCCAAGAGTACTATGTTGATTTTCTGTTTAAAACTTGACTCTAAAAATTTGTGGCTTTTCTGGTAGTGTGGTTTAATTGTGCTTCTGTATTGGAATATACCATGTATCTGGAGATGGATAATTTATTAATACTGTGCAGATATTTGAAAGAAAGCTAATCCAAATGTATACTTTATTCAGAGGCAATACCAAGGAGGCCACTGTACAAAAATTGTGGAGGGGAAAAGACACAAAACCTTTAGACACAGAGATTTCAATAAATATGTAGTGTGGCTACAGGATGGCACAGTGATGTCTAGTAATGATGGATTTCTAATCTTCCTCTATGTTTAAAATGTATAGCAGAATGCTATCTCTTGGATGGCTCAGAAATGCTTCTCATTAATCATTTTGGAACCTTGATTCAGTAACTTGTAGACTCAGTCTTTTTACTCGCAAGGACTGAAACAGCATGAGGTTTAAGTAAAGGTCTTATTCTGAGAGGCACCAAGAATTTCCAAATCGTTGATTTCAGAGCAGTTTGAAGATACTCAGTTACTCTAAGAAATGTGGGCAGAGTGCTGCTGAAGAATGGAATAAATTCTTTTTTCTTATCAGTTGTGACACTTATTATGTTGCGCTTTATTGTAATAATAAGCTACTGTAACTAATGAGACTGCAAAACTGTGACTCAAGCAACTTTTAATTTCAGAATCAGTGGTATCTGTACAGGGACAAAGCTGATTCTAGATGAGATACCAGGGGTCAATTAATTTCATCTTCCTTTAGAGAAACTGGACATGACCTACATTTTTTATTTAGTTTTTATCTTCCTTTCCCACACTTGGACTAATGAGAAGCTGTGTTTCTTTTAGAGCCACATGTTAAACATGCCTGGGTTTGGTTGGGTTTTTTTTCCTATGCAACTTGGGAATTGTTTCTGTTCTGTAAACCTTTCTTCTCTTACTCTGATTTTGGAGATAATTGCCTTTATTTAGTCTTTGAAAGGGCGAGGAGTGTAAATTAGGACTACTTCGCTGAGCCAAGCTTTGCACAGCTGATTATCTGGAAGAAAGTTTGCAAGGCAATGTTAGCATGCAGTCCAAGTGTGTTTCTTCTAATGAAAATGCATGCTGTGCCTCAGGGACATTTGAGCAGAAATCTGTTCATACAGATGCAGCAGAATTTGAATTTGTACCAGGTCTTCTCACAAACTGAAACCCATAAGGCTTCACAGAATCAAATTATGTAGTAACACAATTGTGGTAAATATGTAAACGATGAGAGAGAAACAGCGGAAAAGCAAGTAATTGCACAAGCAATGGAACTTACAAATACCAGTTTCCAAGAATTTGTGTATTGTGGTTTGATTCTCAGATGTCTTACAAGTTGCAATCTCTGATCAAAGCTTTTGCTGCATCTGTAAAGTTCATAGCACCTCTCTATCATGTGAATTTGTTGAGTACATATAAATTCCATTTCAGCAATTTTCTGTGTAGAGCATGAGTAGGAGCTTATTGTTCTGCCCATCCTGCAGTTTTTGTGAAATTCTCTGTAGCTTTGTAATGATAATACCTCTGTCCTGTAACAGAGAAATTTACGGAATTTATTGAATTTATGAATTTATGAAATTGAAATTGGGTAGGGGGTTCATAGTTGTTTTTGAAAGATGCAGGGACAGGCAGGTAAACACCTGAAACTGACTGTATTAAAAGCAAAAATAAACATATTCAGATATGAGGGTTGCATAAGCCTCCTTTCACAGAACCAAGCTAACAGTTCAATCAGGTGAGATTTGTGCTGAACTACTACATAGGCACTTTCTTCCAAAGCTGACCTGGCTAGGTCAGGTCTGAAGCACACATTTTCACATGTAAATAAATAAATACAAACATAAATATAAGTGAAAAACTATGTATGCTGTATCTTTGAAGCAAATAAGTATAAAATATACCAAAGAGGAAAAGTTTAGTGAGGTAGTTTGAAAAAAATGCATATTGAAAACGAGGAGAATAACTGGATTCTAAAATTAAAGAAAACTCTGCAAAGTGTTTGAAGTTGAGATGTGATGCTGTATTTAAGAGGAACCAGTCAATGAAATTTTACACTGACTGTATTGAAATGAGTTGGGCGCTTGTGAAATCCACAAAAAAGAGATGATTGCGATAGTAAAATGGATTTTGATTATAATGAACAGATGTTAGAAAAAGTGTAAGAAATTAATCTGAAGCTTGTGGAATAGAGATCCTGTCAACTGCAGAGAAAAACTAGGCTTGGTTCAGTCAAGAGGAATGCAAACAGCCGACATAAAAACATCTGTAAAGTATGAGGAGGATGGAAGGATAGTTGTGGAAAGTTGTTCTGATATAAAAGAGAAAGGAGCTTCTGTGCAACAGCAGAGGAAAATCCCAACTAAACCTACACTGTTTTTGATGCACAAAGAGAAATGCCAGAGCACCTTTTTGCAGAACGTGGCAGGAAAAGGAAAGGTTAAAATCAAAAAAGGTTGAATTTCAGAATTGTGGAAGGCTTTTGCTGGTTCTTTCAGAAAGGTAGCTTTTTCAGAATTGAGGGTGGGAACAATACTAGGAGGAATATTTATCATTATCAGTCAGAAGACTTACTTTAAAAGTAAGTACTTAGTAAGTTTTACAGAAACAGTTCCCCCCTCACCGTAATTGCCACATCATAACACCCTTTGTCCTTATGACTTGTTTGTGAGTGGGAGCAGCAGCTGCCAGTAAAAATACAAAAGAGCATGCGTGTTAAAAAAGTCTGAGTCTTCCCGAGACCAGCCTTGTCACTGTTTTTTAGGCTCTATCTGTCCTTCCACTGGCTGGAGGAGATGAAATGAGGATCACCAATTAGTTTTTGCAGGCTTTGATCCCTAAATAAGCTCCCAAAAATCATTCCAAAGCATTCTAAAAAACACCTCTCACATCTGTTACATACTTTACCCTCTTTTTTTCTTTAGTTAAAACATTTTGTATTTTATAATGCTGCTGCTAAGGTCCGTCAGCTTTTTAGGAACACGTTTTTTCCATCTAGGTTGAACTGGCTCAAAGTACACTTTGTGTGCACACATGTATCTGTATCTTTGTGACATAGTAGAGCTAACTATTGATTTGAAAGCAGTAGATGTTTGAAGTGTTAATGTTGGAAGGAAAACTGTTAGCTGTTCATGACTTGTGGTTGGTATCAGTTCTGGTAAAGCCTAAGAAGGTCTGAAAACCCTTCAGGGTCTGAAACTTTTGTAGGTAGATGCTTTTTTTCCCAGAAGTTAAGAATCCTAAAGCTTCTGTCCTGGATTGTCGCTACTGCTCACTGCCTTATGTAGACAGGTAGAAAAGATTGTCTCTGAACCATCAGATTATTGGCTTACTGGTATAGAGTGAATTTTTTGGTCCATCTAACCATCAGATAAGTAACAGAAGAGGGGAATGCGCACAAAGCTTTTTCCTGCCTTGACATAAAGTGGCAATTCACAACTTAAATCCATTCCTCATGTCTGTTTTCTGTTTACTTTTATCATCTGCTCAATACATTCTGTCAAAGGAGCAGTGAAGGTGTCAGGATATAAAGAGACTCAGCAATTCAAATGAAAGCATTGTTACTCATTTGCTATGATTTTTGATACAGTTTGAGGATGACATGTTTTGAATAAAATTCAGCCAAGTCTCATTCAATACCATGCTCTTAGGCACTACTACAGAGCACTGTCAGAAGACTGTATTTAGGTTTATAACATATGAACATAAATCTGTATGTATTTATACATGCATATATGTCACAGAGACAAAAGCACACAAAAATGCATAAACCAACTTAAAGATTTTTTTTTTTTAATATACTTTAGAAGATTTGTGTGAATGTAAACATTTGGGAAACTTGTGCAGCAGAAGTCACTGTAGGCACTAGAATTTTGACCTCGTAAATAAAAGTATGCAGGATTATATCTTTCACTTGAAATGTAACAGATGCTTAAAATTTTGTGGAATTTTAATTACTGCTTCTCAGCCTGGCACAACAGATGCTATAAATTTTCTAGCAGATTTGTGCATGAGGCATGTAATATATAACACCACACTATTTAATTCCACTATTTAATGAAAGGCTACCTATTAAAAATTTTTATAGCCAAACGAAGAATCTCTTGCCATGTAACCATAATGGATGGAAATAATAAATAAATCACCAGTTTACATGTATGCAAGCAATATTTTGTGTATATTATTCATAGCATTTGTATGGTTAACAATTCTAATAAACTATCAAACCCCTTTAAAATCTTTGAATGTTGTGAGAGTAAGACAAAAAACTCTGTAAGCATAAGGCACAAAATATCCTTGTGCACATCCAACTGTTACAGACTTCCACAGTTCTGCATTCACTATGACTGTAACCTCATGTTCACAACATGTAAGTAGTGTTGTGCATAGTGCTGTGATAATCATATTCTCAGAACTCTTTGGACAGCTTTAATAATGTTTCACTGTGTTCCACTAACCTTCATTTTGACTTTGATTTAACGCAGCTATAGTCTAAATAGATTAATAGGTTCATATAATTTAAGAATTAATATGACAGGTTAATTAAAAACACGTTGTAAGGTGCCCCCTCTGTGGGCATCTTTCATTCTTTTTGCTTGATACAGATTACGTTTATTATGTTCATTTTGTACAAATTATTAGAATAAATAACACAGTATAGTACTGTATTATTAATACCTCTTTTTTGGTATTAATCTCTGCTTAAGTGCCAAATGTTGATGCTACTTTAAATGGTCTCTTCGTATTTTTAAGTACTGAAGTGCTTGCTCAGCTAATGTCCTGACCCATTGTAACCTAAGTAAATAAAATACTGGTGTGGACCAAAACATTTTCGAACATAAACCTGAAAAACAACAACAACAACAACAACAACAACAACATGCAAAACGTACTGGTGCGTGGAATATATCCACCACACAAATAAAAATTAAGAGACAAATGGCAGAGAGAAAATATAGTCACGGACAGATTCCATTTTGATATCTTCTGAAAAATTCTGGAGGGATTAATTCTAGGTGAAAATCAGGTAAAAAGATTGTATTGTACCAGTCACAGACACTGGACAGTTCCTGCTTGGTTCAGAAGAGCAAACCACCTGTGTAGTTCAAGTCAGTTTTTTGGTGTCATAATCATATCAGTATCATTTTCAGAGACAGAATTACCATCCAGTAGATCTCGGTTCACAGAACATCACAGTTATAGTCAATCTACTCAGTCACCTCTAGAATTAGGTACAAATGTGCACACGTCTGAACTGATTATGGAACAGTCACTGGGCTTCCTGTTGAAATAGCTTTGTTGTGACTTTTTTTTTCCTGTTTGATTCTGAAGTGGTATCAGAGTCCTTATTTTTCAGTTTATGCTGTCTTTATGGCTGCTTCGATCTGTATTGTGATTGTTTAGTTCTTGATTTTTCCACTGAATGCTTGTTCCGTTCATGGGCACTGAAGTCACTAGACTCTTAGATTGGGAGCAGCAACAGCAAAGGCATGACTGGGGGGAAAAAAAAAGGTTACCACAAATTTATCAATTCTGTGCAGATTGCCAGCCATATTTTTCATTCAGAAATAGATAGAACATGTCTATCGCAGTTTACATGTTTACATATGAGGACTATGTCAAACTTATTTACTGGTTTAGCATTTCAGATAAAGTGGATAGTTCCACTTTCAGTTTGGTATGTGTGCTATGTGAACTGCTAGCTTCTAAACTAGACAATTTATAATCCTTCAGTCCTTTGCATGCCTCTTCTCCCAGCTGCTAAAAATAGGTAATAACTAAGTGGTTTAATACAGTTAATTAACTGGACATAAAATCTTATGAAGAAGATCTTACCTGGAAGCAGTTTTTAAATTTCTTGCTCACAAAATACAGAGCTATTGGGTTTATACAAGAGTTCATGGTTGCCAGGTTGATGCTGATATAATCCAATGGCAGCAAGAAACTAGGCAACAAAAGAGAAAGCAAAACATTTAAACTGTTCATATACTGTAGAACGTCCATGCTCTTTGTGGTTACAATGTCTTCTGTCACAGAAACTAATTCTCTCTTACTTAACTCCCTCAATCTAACTTTGTGCCATGCCAGGTCTTAATAAACTGTCTCACAGAAGTTCACAAAAGGCAGAGGAACGTGATTGCAATGGTGACAGACAACATTTATTGAAATTATGCTACCCCATTAAAACTGAAACACCTGAAAATGATACCGTTGAAAAGTCATAAAATAAAATGTTTGGTCTCCTAACACCACAGTTGCACGCACAATGACATTTCTCACATAAACTCCAAGTGTGCAGCATTATATTTTTTCAGTATAAACAATTGATTGATATAGAAAATAAAGTACCTGAGCAGTTCACATCTGCCGGGGTCTCTTTCATTGTATACCATTTTCTTTAAAATGCGGCTCAAATGGAGAGGGAACCAGCAAAGAGCAAAAATCACTACTAAGCAGAAAACTGTCTTTGCAACTTCTCGACGCTAGAAAAAGAAGTAAAGATAACTATGATTGAGTGCCTAACTCATATTGGTAGGTCATAGCAGTGTAGTGATGTTGGCAGTAGAGTAAGTAATCTAGATAAAGCGTGCAAGGATTCCCAGAGTGCAGCTTCCAGACTACCTCATGTGCCTGAACAGTTTTTTATGGAGCTTGTCATGTTTGTGATTCTGGCCATCCTCAACAGAACCTGCTCATCACTGAGATTGGAGCAGCAGAAGCACACAGGTCATTGTCATGACATTGTCAATGTTAGCCAAGGAAAATCTACTGCTGGGCTTTCCTGAACCTTCTTATTCCTCTACACTGGATTAATTTTCTGGCAATCTCTCAGATAAACCTCTGTCTTCAGAAACATGTATATTTTGCAGAAAAACTTTTTCATGTATGAGGGAAACTGGGATCACACCTGCTTGATAAACCACTTCTACCTAATCTTTGATGTGGGGCAATCTGTAAACCTAAGGCACCTAAATCAATTGGCAATAAAAGTTCCCATTCAATCATGTACCTCGTCAGGATGTCAAATTCTCTGTGATGTATTATTTTATACTTAGTGTGCATCATATTACATAAAGGGATACTGCAGAGTATATTACAGAATCACAGAATCACAGAATCACAGAATCACAGAATCACTAGGTTGGAAAGGACCTTCAAGATCATCAAGTCCAACCATTAATCCAGCGCCACCATGTCCCCTAAACCATGTCCTGAAGCGCCACATCCACACGTTTTTTCAACACTTCCAGAGATGGCGACTCCACCATCTCCCTGGGCAGCCTGTTCCAATGCCTGACCACTCTCTCAGTGAAGAAATTTTTCCTAATACCCAATCTAAACCTCCCCTGGCGCAACTTGAGGCCATTTCCTCTCGTCCTATCACTAGTTACTTGGGAGAAGAGACCAACACCCTCGTCACCACAACCCCCTTTCAGGTAGTTGTAGAGAGCGATAAGGTCTCCCCTCAGCCTCCCCTTCTCCAGACTGAACAACCCCAGTTCCCTCAGCCGCTCCTCATAAGACTTGTGCTCCAGCCCCCTCACCAGCTTCATTGCCCTTCTCTGGACACGCTCCAGCACCTCAGCATCCTTCTTGTAGTGAGGGGCCCAAAACTGAACACATGATTCGAGGTGCGGCCTCACCAGCGCCGAGTACAGGGGCATTAATTTTGCATGTGATCCTTGCTATGTGATCTTGATGTTCTTAAGTAAACAGTTCCTCTACAAACAACGTTTGTCTGTATTACAGCTTCATAATCATAATACTTAGTCAGGATATAATTTCAATTTGATGGATATTTTATATGGCTCTAGGGATTTACAGATGTTTTAGTGGATTTTTGACAATGCATACCAGTGGTGTTTGGTAGGCACAGATTTGATAAAGAGAAGCATATGAGGGGGCCGGAATACCACTTCTGAAAGTGCCACCATAATGTAGCAATAGTAAGCATTGCAAGGCTTTGTCATTAAAAAACTAAAAGTCAAATGTGTGATTACAGTAAGTCTTGTTAGGCTTTGAATATGATTATTATTGTTTCTTCTTTCTTATAATAGCAGCTTTTATCAAAATATCAGAAGGATCATGACTAGACATTAATGTGGACAAGGCTGTAGGGAAGGAAAGAAGAAAGAAGGGCAAAAGGTCATAGTTAAAAAGACAAGCATTTGTAAATTGTGGCATAATGTCATCCTCCAGCAACCAGTCTGAGTAGCTTGCTGGGCACTGCACGTCAGGATGGGGAAGCTGGAGGGTGGATTTCCCCACTCTGTAGTACATACCATTCTAGTTCTAATGGGTGGAGTAGCTTGTGTGTGGCCCTAGGACAGACTGTGTTGCAGGCCCTGGGGCCTGATGAGAGGAAAAAGTAGAGGATCTGCACAAGGGGAGAATTTTCCAGTGTGCCCTAGTCTGGAATGAACCAGCAGAGGAGGAACCTCTGAGAGAACTCACACAGATGCAGAGGGGACTGCTTTAAGGATTCACATCTGTGAATGTGGAATTAAAAGAGAGAGTAGCATTTGAGGGGCTGACATTAACACAGGGGAAAAACTACAGATTGTTTTTAAAATTTCAGTTAGGAACTAAACATCAGACAGTGCTGCAAAAACAGCAAAGCCAGATCTGACGATTCTGTGAGTGACTTTATGATCATTTGTTTGTACTATTCTCCTGTTGCTCTGTTCAAAGCAGCTACAGTAGTGGTACTGCAAAAGTGCAATGAAAAAAAAATTCACTCTATTCTAAAACTGGTTATTCTACAATTGCTTTTTATACACAACTGGTTGCATATCAAAGTGTGCCAAAAGTAGGAAGGACCCATGGAGTCATATCTTTACGAATAAAAAGAAACATCTTACAGCAAATCTTTGTAGTTCAATTTCAAAGCATTTAGCCAGTAGTGATTTAAGGTTAAAGAGCAGGAAAGCACAACTGTCATACATGCTTAAGAAAAGAAACTGGGTAGTTTCCTGAGCGTCTGTCTTCAATACCTCCTTATACTATGATTTAGTCTTGTGTTCCAGGTTTAAATGAATACCTTAACGTCATAAACGACCTACATTCTCGCTTTCTATTTCTGTAATTTACTGTATTCAAGTACACTTTGAAACATTTCTAAGCTAACCCAAAGAGAGAAGAACAGTATTTCCAAACATTGGTGTTCCTAATAGTTACCTGCTTAAGGTGTTCACTGAGAGCGATTCTCAAGTTGCTGTTTCTTCTGTTTAACATTTCACAAGTCATTAGCGTATAAAAGATGGCAGTACACGCCAGTGGCATGCAGAAATAGAAACCGAACAGCCACCAATCCTTTGCATCTTTGTAAAACTGTAGATAAGGTAAAGAAGAGAGAAGATATTTTCTTATGATGCAATGGAAAGTACGACAGAAAGGTCTTGGAAAGCGTGACAGTTGGTACGCTGGTATCTGTCTATTGGTAAACAGCACAAATGATGTAAACTTTGCTGTTGTTCATGTTTTGGCCCCACATCAAAATGGGAATTGTAACAGTGTAAACATTCATTTTACCTTATGGATATGCTTTGTTGCAATATATCTTGGGTTGGAATTAATTTTTTGGTTGTGTTTTCTGAACATTTGCACTCATTCATGAAAACTGGACTCCAGTTTCAAGAAAAAGACATGTCAAAATGTAGACAGTGTCAGTTTTAGATAACAAATCTTACTAAAAGCCTGTCTCAGGAAATGCCATTTACCTCCACGGCTTCTCTCCTGATTCCAAAAAAGGAAAATTCAAAATGTCTTGTAAGTTTAATCACCTTCTGTTATCAGTGAGAAGATTGGTAGTTGGTATGCTTATGTGCTGGGCAGATAGGAGCCACTTCATAAGTGTTTTTCTGATACATGCAAAGCTTAGGACGGGTGGCTTCTAGTGGTACAGTTACTTTTAACCCTTTGCCTGCCATTCATAGCATTTGCCTTTTGTGACAGGACTTGATAGAGTAGCAGTACTTTGCTGTGTAATTTAAGTGTTAGCTGTGGTTTAAGTTAATACATTTATATATTATGGGAAATACTACATTTGTCAAAACATTTAAAATTACTCTTTTCTGTAGACAATTATATTTTCAGACTTGAGAAAATACTGTATCTTGGTTTTTAACTTTTATGCTCAGCCAAAAGTGTGCACTGAAATATGACATTTTAAATACTTCCTGTCTCTATGTTATTAGTCACTGAGACGGATGTGTGTAAAAGGGAACCTTCTTTCTCATAATCTTTCCCCTAGCTTGTTTATTCATAGCGGATGTGCTCTTGTAACATCACAGTTCCCACACCAAATGTCAAAATGCTAATAACTGAGGATTACACGAATCCTGTTTGAAAAAGTCAAACTTTTGACATCTTATTTACATTTACATTTACATTTAGAACAGTACTAAACTTTGAAAGATTAAAAAAATAGATGCGATTAATAGACTAGTATTTAATAATATTAATTTTAAAATCTGCTTTAGTTACACTAGAAATTTTATTTACTAAGAAAAAGGAAATGTTTTTGATTTTTCTCCCTCTGCCCCAACACAGTTCGCTGCTTCCAGAGCTTGTTAATTTAGAGTATGCTTCTGGTATCTAGGCCACAACCCCACCTCACTGGACAGTTTGAATTGTGTCGATTAGCTTGTTTCCTCCTCCTCATTAGCCTCATCCCTGCGTGAGGAGGGGCTACAGTCTGCTGCATAGTTGAACTCTCCTTGGGGCTGAATTTCCCCCACTGGGAACAGAGCTGCTGCCAGCAGAAAACCAGAAAACAATATGCCTCATATTTGAAGAGTTTGTACTGAGGGGAAATCTAATTACCACTCCTTCTGCAGAGAAAAGGATTACAAATACATGGAGACAATTATCTTTTCCATGGGCAATCCTTCCAAGTCAGACTAGAATCACATTGGTTGGGCAGCACAACAAAATGTGTACTGTGTGAATGCGTGCTATGTTTACAAGGAAAACTTCCTGTCATCTCTGTCTACCAGCTTTCGTGAGCATTGCCTGTCAGTCAAGAAAACACTCACATAGAGTTCTGTGTCATAACTCTGACCAATGCATCAATTCTGTATGAGGACCTGGCTTGGTTAAGTTATAAAACCTACATGAAAATGTCTGTAAGTGATTAATTGTGGAATCCTGAGTTTCAAAAAGCACAAAATTGCGTTGATTTAAGAGAAGTAGACATTCTTTTGTTTGTCTTGAAAGCCCACATGGAACTGTTTTTCTACAGGAAATGTGCATTTTAAATAAGTTTCCTAGTGCACTCAGCCTCTTGGGAATCATGGTCTTGCATGAAACTTTTAAGTCTTTCAAGGATAGCTTTAAACACGAAGAAAGCTCCTATTAAAACCAAAAGTTAATCATAAATCCTTCCCAAAGTTTAGTAATTGTTTATTGTGGTGTTTGTGGTACTAAATACTATAGTTAAGGTTAAAATGGTATTTCCATCTTAATCTCATGTTTGTGCATGCTTGCAGTAAATTGAAACACAACACTCCATTTTGACTGACACGTCCAACATTTACTCTCAGCTTGAACGTAAATGCTGGTTTGTTTCCTTGAAAATCAAACTGGCATGGGGAGATTTGAACTTTTGAATTATGCTGAGCAAGTCAAAGATACTAATTCCTGCTAATAAAACAAAACAAGCTATTTTACTAACCACATTAAGAACAGAACAATAATCATTAAAGTTAGCATGCCTATGGAAGACCTGAACTATAATGTTTTTGAGAAGAGGGAAGAGAAGACTATTCTTTTTCTTAGGGAGAGAGGTAGTGGAGATTGTCCAGGCACATTTGTGGAGAAAAACATCAATTACAAAAGGGAAAATTTCATCAGGCTGCATTTCATAAATCATGTTCTTATAACTACAGTATTTACAGTCATATAGTCTGTAGAGTTTAGAAACAAAGATATAGTAAGTCCTGGGCCATTCCTCTCCATCTTCACCTGCATTAATTATTTCCATCAGGGAATTCCTTTTGTCTTCTCTTGCAGTTGTCTCTTGTTCTTTCTGCCATCCCTGCAGTCTGTGTAACCCTACCAAAGTTGGGGATGTTTCTCTGAAAAACACTAATCATCCACACTTTTTATTTTCTAAATTTCCTACCTCCATTTTGCCCTATCCTTCCTAATTTTAGCCCAGGCCATGTTCTGATCCAATAAAAGGAGAAGTGCCAAACATTCAAAACAGAAAAGCTTGCACTCTACCATGAAAAACTAGTCCTCCAAAACATATGGTGTTTCCCTCAAGACTTAAGACCTTGCACTATCTGCCTTCTCTGAGACAAAAGAGAATATTACTCTTTTTTTTTTTTGGTTACTGGGCAAATGGTGGCTAGCCCTTTTTTGGGTTCACAAAGAAAAAATTAAGATACCACTTTCCCATTTTCTCAGTATAAGGCCGGGTAGAAAAACACTATGCCCCTATGCAGTAAAAATCTATTAATTATGTAGCGACTACTCACCTGACTTGCTTTGAACAAGCTAATGTGTATTGGCAACTGTTAAACTGCAGTAGCACAGAGGATGAGGGCTATGAAACATGCCAAAGAAGCCTGGTGTGTCTCAGGCACTTCTCTTGCTCTTGAGTTGCTGTACCTAGATGACAGCTAACAGTGTCCGAGCTACCTAAGTAAGTTGGAGATGTGAGTCTGTCAGATTTGTAATCATGATTTCTTGTAAATGAAGGGATTATTCTCAGTTTGACTTTGTAAGTGCACATAAAATAGGAAAAGTTATGTTAGAGCATGGCCCCACCCTTTTCTTTATCTGCCAGAAGAGCTGGCTACTGCATGCAAAATGATGACTAATCATGGTAAAACATGGTTTTTGACAGTTACAAGCTCCAAAGGTGTTATACCTAGAAACACAATACCTTCCAAGGTTCTGGCTACCCTGATATGTCTTGATTGTACTTTAAGCAGACCTGAATTGCAAATTTCTATATTAAGAATTCTCAGTAGTGAAGAAATGAAAATGTTGTAAAGTCCCATTTAGTATCTCCAGCTGAAAGTAAAGACAGGTCACTGTAAATGAAGGATCTTCTTTGCACCAATATACATTAGAATACATTTTGCACTTTCATGGAGGAATAAAGCATATTATAATCCAGTATCTGAATTGTCTAGCCTATATACTGTGGATTCCGAAAAGAAAAGAAAGGATGTTACTTACCAACATAAAATTAGTTGTAGGATTGAGCATGCAGGTAACATAACCTTCATCCTTGTATTTGAAGGGTACCACAGCAAAACCAATTGCTTCTGGAATAGCCAGAATAAAGGACAGAAGCCAAATGGAGAAAATTTCAATAGCAGTGATCATAGGGATTCCAATTCCCTGGACACGGCTCCAGGAGGCAACTGCTCTGTACCTGAAAGAGACAGGCATTAGTTTCCAGCCTTCAGTTTCGTCCTTAAATTCAAAGATCTTGGTTCAATTTTATATATTAAGTAAAATCCTAAAGCTGACATCTTAGACTTGTATTGCTTGTTTTTTTTCTGCCTGTTGCAGGGGCTCTACCAGCTATCAAGACACATCAGAGCACATAAAGGGGTGGATAGCAGAGAGCTGACTGCAACTGTTCTGCTTAGGCACAGGATTGCATGTAGTTCTGCTATGTGGACTACACTAATGATTTCTAATTAAAGTAGGCAAGGTTTGTGGGGACAGACTATATCTTTCACTACATCAGCTGACATAACAGAAGAAAGAAAGATTCCAGGCACACAAGCCATTCTAATAGATACAAAACAGCTATCTCCTTCAGCTACTTCAGCTGTAACAGCAGTGCTATCTGATGTGTTGTCAGCTTCCATGCAATGAAATACTGTGAAAATACTCTCCATTAAATGAAAATTCATTTGTTCTATTTACACTATTCAATGTTAAAATTACTGTATTTATGCAGCATATTCTGTATTTGCCTTAGACTACAACTGAGTGCTAGTTAGGGCAGTCTGACAGCTATCTCAGCCTCTACATTACCTTTCTGATGAGAAACTGAAGTCTATGGCTGAGGCCTGTGCATGCCAAAACCAACATATTTTCCGACTACTTTATCCCTTAGGTAGCAAGTTGTTCTGTAAAAAGTGGAATTATTGAAACCTGCTTTCTTATGTGTATGCATCTCATAACTGTAATCTTGGTAAAAAGTAAGAATTCTTAAAGAAGTTTCAAATACAGCCCATGCATTTCTCCCTCTTCTTCCTCTCTTCACCTTCTCTGTCCCTGCAATGCTGGAGGATTCTTCATACCAGGCTGCAGCCTTTCCCCCAGTTGGGGAACTGAGAGGGTCTTTCTCCTCTACTTGTCTGCAAGCTTTCAAGGAACTTGTAGAAATTTATTAGCTGTGAGACCTCAACCTGTCTATCAACTCTGGTCAAAAGGTTCAAAAATAGTTTGGAGAAGACCGATAAGTATACAATACAGAGTACAAACCAGTCCATAAATAAAATTTTTAGTAGCAGACTTAAATGTTGTCTAGCAATAACTACAGTAAATGAGTTACTTAGCATTTCCAACAATTTAGCAAAGACAGTGCTATCTAAAAATTATGGAAAGAACAAATACTATTTGTGGTCTTGTAATAGTCTGAAATGCATGCTGATGTGATGTAACAGTTTCTAAACTGCTTATTTTACTTCCCCAAATAATAGCACCTTCCCATTTGGCATTACAGTGCTACATAGATATATCATGGCATCAACTGATGAAATAGTCTTCTTCAGTTGAGGAGAAAAAAAATCAAGACAGGTTGTTCATCTGCTTTAAAAAATGTCAGAATAAGTCACCAAAGAAGATCATAAATTGTAAGGAGCTGTGTCATTTTATGCTCCTGACTATGGCAAGTATTCTTTTCTTCCTCAGACATGCCCTCATTTTCTGCCCCTTTGAGTCCTGGCAGATACATTTGCGTATGTATAGCTGCCATCTCTATCCTAAACACCTTTCCAAGGCACGAGCCAAGGTTAAGCTTTTCAGACAAAAGCAAATGGGGTGGTGATTTTAGCTGATGACAGCAGTTAACTAGAGTACAAAAAGAGCATACCAGCAGGCACAAGGAAGATGGAAGGCCTGGGGAAAGGAGGTGCCCTCAACAGACCAGGAGGATACAATTTGTAAATATGTAGGCTCTTGAGTTGCAGGCATGGGTAAGCTTTGGGAAAGGAAGAAAAGAAAGGGGAATTTAGATCAGAAAGCTTTAGGTTGGAGGATTAGGTTGAGGAAGGATTAGGGTGGGATGGTAGAGAGGTGTTTGGAAGGAATACAGAAGTTTGGCATGTGCTTGAAGGCTCAGGGATAACAAGGGTATAAGGAAAAGAGTAGTTGAGAACTCTGTGTTAGGATGCTTTGAGTATACTGGGAAGTATTAGATTTTGAATTTCTGAGATGGCAGGAATTAAGAGCTTCCAATGGGAAAAAAAAACTTTAGTTAAAGGATATAGGACATAGGGTACAGAGGTCAGTAAAATTTAGTTACTAAAAGGCATCCTCAGCCCTCCTCTGACGAAAACAGTAATTTGGGATTCACACACACCCCATTTCTTCTGATTTCCTGTATCACATCCCCTTTTTCATTTGGAAGTGTCCTTATAACAGGATGGAAGACTTACAAATTAAATCCCCTGTAGCCTCAATGTTAGAGGAAGGAAGATGCATGAATGCAAGAACAGGCTGTAAGCCTCTCACAAAAACTTCAGAAAGTATTATTACAGAACATCACTGGAAAGTGTCAGAGCTTTGTATGCCACCATTCTTGCAGTAAACACACTAGAAAATTTTGTTTTGATATCTATAGCAATATCATACACAGCATAGTCACAGGTGTACTATGGACAGTTTCTCAGTACATCATTTTAACAGAAATGTATGTGTAAAGATTTTGAACATATTAAAGCAAACTACATTTTGGACTTGCAGATTAAAAATAAAAACATCTTTTAAAGGTATCCTTGTCAAAGAATATTGGAAAAGAGGGAGGCAATGGTTCACTCATGGGGAGGAGGTCTATGAGATTGGAACTCTGAGAGCATCATAACAAATAAACTGTACTGAGATGATTGAGAAAGTAGTGCTCAGCATCGTATTTTCTCACACATATTTATTTGTATTAAAATTCAAATTTAATTTTAAATAATTTGTGATCCTATCATATTTCATTTTACCAGATATCAGATTTTGGCTTTAATGAAATGGAATATTTATAGAAACACAACCTTTCACACAAATATGTAAGTATTTGTGAACTCTGGAAATCTAACAATCAACTTGAAGTTTACTTTCTATTAACTGGCAATTTTACAGTTGGTCCCATCAGCTGCACAAGGTACATGATACTATCTCATCCTTGACTGAATGATGTTCTTAGCAAACAGGGGCCTGTAGACTGTACATATTTTTCAAGTAAGAAATGTAATGTTTGTGTTGTGTCACCTGTGTAACTATGTAAGTGACGGCAAAGGGGTTGTAAATTGCGAATCCAATTCTTTCCTTTCTTGCATTTTTGTACCTGTTCTGTTTGAGTTACATCTGTTTTGCACATGAGAAGATTAGTATGCACAGCAGTAAGGATTTGGGTCCTGTATATATTTTATTGGCAATTTTTTTTTTCAGTTCACAATTCAAATAACTATCAGGTAAGGAATTATTGGCCGAAGAATTTCATGAATGGTTTCAGCTAAAGCATAGGAAACTCAGTCATTAGATCAGAATTTCCTGAATGCATATTAACCTGCAATTACTTGGTCTTTTTACGCACTGCTGGAACAGTGATTTGAAAAATAGTGGTAGTATAATTTTTCAGGTGGGTGTTCTGTGAGTTATGTAATACATAGGATCTTTGTCTAGCCACAAACCTCCCGTAATTAGGAGTGAGAAAATACTGCAGGGTTTATTTCCCTCATACTTCGAAAATATAGGATGTCTGCCAGGGAACTGATGTAAAATACATGCATCATTTAATCCCCCAATCTAAAATCTGTGTGCGTGTGTTTTGTCTTACTTTTCTTTTTTCTGTTTGTTTCCCTTTTGCCTCCAACCTCGTCTAAAATACTCAGTTCTTTTCCAGGTCATTTCCTTTTCTTTGTTCAATGTTGTGGCTCCTCTCTCCCCTTTTCATTTTCTACTGCTCATGCATGTGCTGTCAACTTTAGTATATTGTGCCCTTCAGTTCTTCTCTTTCCTCTGTTTTCCTCTCCTCCCTCTTCTCCCATTCTTAGCCTTTTATTCCGAGTTACTTCTCATGGCCTCTGTAGTCCCTCCTGCTACTTTCATTTAGAGATGCACAGTATTTAAGAACACGGGATCATTACATTGTGAAGTATACATACATACAATTAAATATTTTGCATGCCTATCTAGTTATAATTTGCTTAAAGCATTTCTTTCAGAAGGATGTCTTGTCTTGATCTGAGAACATTAAAAGCAAGACACCTTTGCCTTTCCCTGGTGGTTTCTTCTTGTAGTTAATCACCCTCATTTTTAAAAATGTATACCTTATTTTCATTTGGTATATGCCTGGCTGAAACCTTGTTCTATAGTTTCTTATTATATCTTTCCTCGCTAAGCTAAAGACCCCATGGATATCTGATACAACACCTGTATTTCAGTACTTGGATATTGTATTTAATTGGCTTCTTAAGTATTGTTTTTGATAAGCAAAAAATTGAGATCTGTAAGGCCACTGAATCATTTCTGATGCTTTTCTACTCCCTCTCTGTGATTTCATCATTCTTTGGTGAAGAATAATTCTAGAACTCTAGTTAGCCTTCCAGTATTGGTCTCATTGATGCAGCATGGTTGTGGTTCTTGTTGTGGCCAGATTAGTTTTTCAAACAATTTGGATGAATTTTACTACAGTGGTATCTAATTTGAATTAGAAAAGAAAACGTACTGTGGGCCTTATGCAATGAAATCCAGGAGTATATGAAAAGTAAATCATGGGCTATAGCTTGTCTGTGGACTATCAATCCCCTATGCCTGCTGTCTTACAGAGTAGGTGCTTTTGTTTCCCTATTCCTTTTAACTGCATTAGAAAATTAGTTGTTCAAATGTCCCACTAGTAGAACATATTTCTGTTCTGCAAGTATCATCAGTCTTCTATAGGTGGGAAAAGCAATACAGAAAAGATAGGAAACTTGATCAAGGATGTAAAAAGCACTGTCAAGATTAGTGTCAGAACAGTTCCTAAATGACTTTACTGTTGCTGATATTGATCTATTCCTCTTCGTTGTGAGACATCACAACTGTTCTTAATTTTAAAGATAGCCAGTGTTGTGTTGATTGCAAAGCTCTTAATACAGTAAAGCTCTTAGAGCTTTGTTTTAGTGGTAAAATCTTGACTTATCTAATAATGGACGTTGGGCCAGATGAAAATACCTGCCCTGAGATTGCTGTTCTATGCAATTTGGTATGCAGAGGAGGCAAGAAGAGAGTGTATACATATTAAATGAGATCCATATCTTCTCTCTTCTTCTTCAAACCATTTCTTCATCAAAATCATTAAGCCCAAGACATAAGCAAGAGTAAAAGCTCAGGAAGGGAAATATCATTCCTCTTAGTCACAGTCAGGCACTGTTTAGAAAAAGAGTCAAACTATCATCACCATCGTGACCTAGAGTTTAAAAATGCCTGAAAGGCATCTGCAACAAATGTGAGCTTCCTCTGAAGGATGAATGGCTGGTTTGGTGTTTTCTGTCAGCCTCTTAAACCCTCTCCACCTGTGAGTGGACATTGTTCTGCTTGGGCATGCACAGTTAAACCTTAATACACCGTCAGTGCAAGTCACTTTGTGCAAGTGGCAGTAGTAATGAGTGGAGTTTCACAATAGGATGTAGTTAGCACAGAGAATAGTCCTTGTAGGACAAAAGATAATCTTGATCTAAATTAAGGCCGCAGTCTGCAAGAGGGACAGACAGTCAACAATTATCAAAGATACGGAGCTCTGAATTCATTATACCAATTGACTCTGTCTTTTTCTACCTCGTAGAATGCAATTCCATATACAGACACCCAAATGAAATATAAGTGAGATAGTTTTCAGGAGCTTTTATAAGGAAAAAATAACTGTAGACCAGATACAGTCCAACTGTGACAGCACACAATTCTGTATTTACTCATTTTCCATACTAAAAAGCAAACATTATTTTTTTTTGTATTAATGTGAGTATGGCACTTCCAGTGCCCGCCCTAACTTGTTGAAGGCACTCTCATATCCTGATTTCATGGTGATTTAATCTAGATTCACTTCGTGCTAGCCAATATCAGAATCTGGCTGTATACATCTGTTTTCTAACACACATTCTCTGGAACCATTTACTAGAGGAGCACCAGATGATAAAGAATATGTCCTTGGCAAAGCATGTAAACTGGGGGAGGAAATTAAACAGTCTGAGTCTGATCCCATACAAGACTTTATCCTCCAATGGAAACAGCATTTGGTTGTTGTGAGGATTAGCAAATGCGTGCTTGTAAAAAAAAAAAAAAGCATCTATAAAGAGGTAGCTTCAGCTGAGTTACTTCCAATTTATGAAAATGTATGTAGCAATAGGACTAAATCTGGTGAAACTGCATTAGTCAGAACTTATCTAACAAACTCTCTGTGTCATATGTGCTTGATCTATGATTTATTCCTTAGAGCAGTCCATGGGATTGTATTTTATACTGGGCAGGTATTGTTTGAGAAATAGAATTCTTTTTATAGTTCTCAGACTCAAAAATGGAAATAGATCATTTACCTGTGTTACACTTTTTTTTTGTTTCTGGCTTCAGCTAAGGAGTTACTAATGCAATGAGGAACCATATTTCAGGTATGAATATTACTACATTACTCATCTGTTGCAAGCCTTGTACATCAACTTTTTATGTAAAACCAAACCAAGATTAATTAAAAAATTTCTTCTACCTTTGCACCGCTGTACTAATACACATAATGTATTTTATTTATCAACATTTTCTGTACTAAAATTACTGATACTTTGGACTAGAACATGATCAAGTAAACTCAAGACCAATAAAAATAGCTTTTACAGAAATTAAGTCTTCATCTGCTGTTGCCCTACATGTATGAAGAAAAAAAGCACAAAAGAATAATATTCAAAAGCATCTTAGTTGTTGTTCTATCAAAAAGTTTATGTATCTTCCTGAGCACTTTTAGCAGAGGCATTAATTTTCAAAGTATCAATGTCAAACTATCAAATCAAGCTTCCAATGTGTTTTTCAATAAGACTCAGTTATAAAAGTTATCAAAATAAACACTGTAATTATAGTCTATAGGCAGTGAGTTGAAAAAATTATTTTTAAGCCTGAAGTTTATGATCCTGTTCAAATATAAAACAAACATGAGGTCATATGAAAAAAAGAAGTCTGAATACTGAGACAAATCCCAATAAAGTTTTGTCTGTAAAGGAAATTGAAATAATTCTAAAGCTTTTAAATACCTTTAAAAAAAACCTGTAAAGTTAATTAGTCCAATGGCTTCATATTATACTTTAAGCTATAGATGTGGTTATTTGTTATAGCCATGATGTAAAAAAATAGAATGTAAGTTACGTCTATACTGTAGTCAGACCATACTGAGTGCTCTCAGTTCTGGGAAAACTGCAAGGGCAAGAACAGCGTCTGCCAAAAGAGTTAAAATATACTGTACCTGTCCACACTAAGGGCACAGAGATTAAGGACTGTGATTCCCACCGATGCCTTCTGTATAAAGGGAAGGAATTTGCAAAGAAACTGTCCAAATTCAGAATCTCCAAAAGGCCACTTCTGAGCAAGGAGCTAAAGAGAAGATATAAAATAATCAGAATACTTAAACAGTAACTTGGCAAGTATGTAACAATAGTAATTATTTCTTGTCTTAGATACAGCCATTGTAAACTTGAATTCTCCATACCTCAAGCATATCCTTAGTACTGAGTGAATCTGGGAAGTAACTGCTACTATAGAAGCACAGAGAGTGAAAGTTTTAAACTTAGGTGTTGACCTTGTACTGTTATAATAGTAACTTGCATCATTAAAAGATTTTTTATTATTGTGCTTCAGCCACCAGTAGTGAATAACGAAAATCTAACTCAACGCTGTCATAAATGGTTGCAATTACCATGTCCCAGAACCAAGCAGTCAAAGCGTAACTCACAGTTCATAATGAAATACCTCAGAGCCAAATTCTCATGCTGCACGCAAGTAGATTCTTGTCATTATAAATGTACCACAGTGTAACTCATGACAATATTCACTGCCAGATTCTTAAGTGTGTGGAGAAAATATTGTACGTACATAATTTGTTCCATATTATGTTTTAAATGACTTCCATCATACATATATGTGGGCTGTACTACAAGGCAACAGAAAAGCATCCATTTGGAAAGACATGAATGAGTAGCTGTAACTGTTAAAACTTTGAACAAGTATACATACAAAACACAGGCTACAAAATTATTCAGGATAGTCAAGTCTACAACTGATTGCAGAGTCACAGCACTCCGTTCACTGGGTGCCTGGCAGCAAAACGGCAGATTACATTCAATGTAAGTAAATGTAATAAGTGAAAAATTATTAAGTCCATACAAAGTATTGAGCTCTAATTTAGCTGATTCCACTCAGGAAAGGGATCTTACAGCCACCATGAATAGTTTTTTTAAAAAATGAAATCACTAAACCTTCCCACTCTTGCACTATCACTTTTTTTAAATCTTATTCCCTAAGTCTCTGCTACTGAGCCTTTGTCAGGGGTAGGATACTGAATAAGAGGTAAAGACGAGTTCTTTGTGTGATATAGCCCAGAAGTTTTTGTGCTCTTATTAACTTCTGTTAGAGTGGTTGTGTAATAGAAAGCATTAGATTTGAAATAAAAATATGAAGTGCTTGAGCCGGTTATGTAACTTTGTCAACATCCTAGTGGATGTTGTATCCCCTATATAAACAGGGGGCACATTTTTAAAGGTAGTAATAATAATTGTCTTACTGGATAATTAACTGATTATTACTACTGTGCAGTCATTGAGTTTATATTAAGCCTTACTGAACAAAGGCTAGAACGCAGAATATTTTGGTAGTACCATCTAAATTTGGAGATGTTTTTATTTTCTTCAGAGGAAGACAGCAAATGATATACTACGGAGTAACAATTATAAGCCAAACCCAAGCTTCTGAAAGCTTCTAAAAGATGGAGATAAGCTGGTGGCATAACAAACATTTCCAGTAAATACAGCATGTGTGATGTGCCACAGTCTAGCTGTCCCTGGGCAAGAGCGCAAAATGGAAAAGAGAGAACAAGGAAACATACTTTCATCTGCACAAATGTGCAAGGACTGATGCCATTGCAGTCTGTATGCAAATATTAGTTGTGTTCTTTCAATGATAAACACAACCTATGAGTCATATATTTTTAACATTTTTACAGTTAAAACTGAAGAAAGATTATACTGTTTGGAATATGATTAAATCAATAGAAATTTGAGCTATTGTTTTCAGAGTTTACTTTCTTGCAGACCTGTTCTGTCAGGACAGCTTCACACTTGGGCAGACTCCTTTGCTTACAGTCAGTTCACGTTTTGAGAGTTATCTCTGCAACCACAAGGACTAGACATTTTTTTCAGTAGAAACTTTGGCCCTGGAACATACTCCTCTAGTAAATGTGGGTGAATTCTATCTGAAGAATTAGAAAAACTTTTTTTTTTTTTTCTGAGGTGTAGTATTCAAAGTAAACATTTTATTTCTATTTAAATTACCGTTACATTGAAACATACTAATAATCACTACCTTTAACAATATAAATGTAAACTATGGGGAGTTAAAATTCATATCGATCTTTATCTCAGTTAAGGTAGGAGTTACCTTTCTGTTTTTTCACAGCATGAGTTTTTCAGACCACTTTGCTGTAGAGTACAGGATGTTTATCACTGAATGCCAGATTTGTAGGAATTAATCTTCTCTTTACAGTCAGTCCTGATCTGGCTTTTTCACATCCCTCTTTTTTAGCGTTGGTCACAATGCTAAATTACTTGTGCTTTTTTTTCTCCAAATAGTACGTCAAAAATGCTGGAAGTAGCGATCTACTACATGCTGCCTATGTCTCTCTAGGACCATATTCATAGTGACATTTGATTACTTGTATTTCAAGACAGATTTTAGCAATTCATAACTTTCAGCCACCTGGGTCTTAATACTGTGAAGCAAACTTATGTGTATAACTGCTTATTAAATAAGAAAGGAGTTATCTGTTAGGCATTATATATTCTACTGGATTAATTTTTCTCTTCAGATGAATATTAAAATGAGGTTTCTCAACATAAGTTGTAGGATCAGTCCAAGTTTGTCTACTCCCTATTTCTTGAGAGTGATAGAATATCATATAAATGTGGTTCCATTTACTCTCGTTCTGCTCCTACATGTTGCTGTGTGTTTTCTGGCATATTGAGAACTCTCACCTTCTTCAAAGAGAGCTGAATATCTTACTTACCACCAAGACCACAGCAGAGAAAATGTGAGCACCTCTGCAATGGTATTCCAGTTTAGGACAATCATATTTGATGAAAGCAAATCCCCCTTGTGCCAAGAAGGCTAGGGAATGGATCACTAGGATTGGTGATTTAACTATTGTTAGTACCTTCAAGTGACAAAGGTAATGAGATTATACCTGCAAGCTGTTGATTAGCTTCTCTGATTTTATCTGTATTTATAGACTGAATGAAATACACTGAAGACTCCAGCAGAATTATTTTCTAAATAGATTTGCACTATTATAACAGAAGTTTGCAGGGCATATTTTTGCCTTTTGCCTAGAATTCTTGCATGAGGCTTTAGTTTATGTCAGGACTGCAGAAGAAATGTTGGAAAAATAGGGGCGATCTGAATCCATGGTAATTCTCCAACCAGTTGTAGTCATGTGGAATTTCAGCTCCACTCTTGTCTGGGTTTGGGTAAAACCAGAATAATTTTCAGGCACCGCTGGCTGAAGGTTGAATTCTAAATGGTACTGCCAGGGAGAAGAGGCCCTAGCAGACTTTAGTCAATCCCTTGTGCCAACCAAAGCCCCAAAACTGATTTATCACTATAGACGACACTTTAAAAGGCAACTGAAAGACAGCCTTTTATTCATTTATGTGCACTGACTGTGGCTGAAGCATACACCCAGCAACAGAAATGAACAAGCACCTTGTAGTGACTGTGAAACTGTTACTACAAAGGCAAATATTAGCTTCAAAAAGAAAAGTGTTGTACTTGAAAAAGGTTCACTAATTCATTACTCCTCACAGGGAAGCTTTGTCATGGTTCCAGCATGTATATATCTTCCCCACACCCCAGGAAGCTCTCCCTTTTTAAGATTAAAAGTATTTTATTCCTTTTGTTTCTTACGCTTTTCCACTAATTGAAGTAACATCAGTACCAAATCATTAGACATTCTTTCCCAGTTGATTTTAATCAAAATCACTGGCATCAGAATTAAGTCATTTGATTTTTAAGACGAACTTTGCAATCATTTCCGTGGGTATACTCCATTATCATTCCACATCAGCTATCCATTCATTACTTCCCCTTGGATCAGGTGCCAGTTTTTTCTTCTGTAGATATTTTTAATTAGCAAATCTAGTCCTGTCTTTGGTTTTACTAATTTTATATCAAAACATGTCCATTGCCCTCTGTTCTGCCGTAGCAGAGTACAGAAACTTCAGAGGGAAATAACACATTTACTTCGTGTAAAAAAATGGGCCCAGGAATTTAATTGAATTAGTCCTGATTTACTTAGGTACAATATAAGAACTGGGACTGCTAGCTATGCTCTTCAGTCCTTTTGGATGTTATAATATCCAAACAAAACAAGAATAAAATTTTAGCAGATTACATTTTCTCCCAAGGCACAAGGATAGGAGGAATCAAGCTGATTATGCCAACTTGCACCCCTGTTCTCCATGAGTTGGTGAAATGGGTTGTGCTTCTGCAAACCCACTCACAAAATCTCTGAGGTTTCAAAATAAGACACATGGCAAAGGAAATGCACTTTTACCCCTTGTGCCGTTTGCAACTTAGGAATATTTCATACAGTTCAACTGTGGTGCAATTCCTGAGCAAGAGAAGAGTGTAGTCAACAGCATATTTTTACGCTGAAATCAGAAACCAAGATTTCAAGGTTCTACCATCAGTCTTAAGAAACCTCAGCAGTGACCAGACAGCCACAGCTTCCTTGAGCATCCCCCCTTCTCTGCTGCTTTATATGGCCTCTCTGCCCCGACACTGCAGCTTGAAACAAACAAGACAGCAGCGCTGAGAACATTCCTTTGCAATGATTTTTAAATGTCACTCAGTTGATTTTATTCAACTGCTCCGTTGCTATTTTCTAACCTCCATTAGTATGCTAGCTGATGTACAAAACACAAAGTCCCACTGTGCATCCCAAGCAATTTATCTATAGTCTAAAAGAGAGAATGTTATAATCCAGCCACATGCGTATTCACCAGTACATGCTTATGTACATCCACAGTGTTTATCTAATACCAGGCCGATACTGTGTGTTTACATGCAGATGATGACTCTGGAGCTCAGCTGAAAATAGATGGACAGGGTTAGGTGCTGGATATGAATCAGCTCTGCGCTGCTCTATAAAAACTGCTTCAGTTCAACAACTACATGTCAGGAGGTCCTCTATCTCTGCCACACGGCATTGGGGATGAAAGCAAAGGGATCAAACCTGCCCTTTCCTGCTCTGATCTTATCCTAGTGCTCTAGAGCCTTCCTCTTCCTATATCCACTTGGGACCATTGTTGTGCTGACACACAAGA